AATTCAACAAACCATTTATTCTTGACACGGATGTGAGCAAGGACAGTCGGTGCTGTTTTGTCCCAAGAAATAAATGGTCAAGAAGATGTTGTAGTATACTGGAACAAGTATGCATCTAAACCAGAGGGATTACTCTGTCACCACAAGAGTTGTTCTCCACAGTTACAACTGTAGAATATTTCCACCAGCAAAAAATTCCTGCTCTGCACAGATCATGCATCGTCAATCTGGCTACAAAATTCAAGAATCGAGAAGGCCAGATAGCGAGATGGATACAGAAACTCCAGGAACCTGATATAATTATCGATCTAAGAATGAATCATCACATGGAAAAGCCACCACCCTGTCTAGAAGACCCTGCCCAGAAAGTTGCCGATCAGTCAAAGCAAATGCGAGCTAGTTAATCTGGCTTCACATCAAGTTACAACTTGACAGGAGTGACAAAGTCAGGAAAAAAACAGTTAAAAGACGGCGACATAAAGCCCATAACTGTGTTAATGGAGTTTTCAAATAAGATACCTATGTGGCACTCCTACAAAATAATATTGCGTTCTCTGGAGCTTGCCCCATATTCAATATAGTGTCTTGCACCGGAAGTTCAAATAGGATGATGGAAAGACATTCCGATGACAGCTGATACTTCCAAGACTCCAGATCTTGGAAGCGGACTAGAGAGCATTCCGAATGGAAGTCCCTTCGAAATCATGAAGACTCTGCATAGAGTTCAAGAGTGTTTCTATGGTAGTAATGTTAAAGACTGGTGTGCAAAATTAGTGACAATGTTGCGATGCCTTTTTGGGCAAGAGAAAGGACCGAAGAAATGCAGTTGAGGGCTGCAATGTTACAATGTAGGAATGGCTTTTGAAAGCACCACCTTTGATAATTTGGTTTGCCTGCTATGAGCTGCTGATTACAAGAAATACATCTTCATTGTCAATGATTACATCACCAAGTGACCTGAAGCATACCCATACTTGATCAAGAGGCTGTCACAGTGGCAGAGGTAATGATATTGCATCGGATTTCTAGGTGTGGACTGCTTCTTCAATTACATTCTGATCAAGAAAGAAATTTTATCTCGGCTGTGATTTAAGAAGTTTTCAAATTACTCAGTATAAACAAAATCCAAATGACACTTTTACATCCACAATTAGATGGCATGGTAGAGATGTTTAAACCATCCTCAGAAACCTCTCACCGATACTTTCCAGAAACCAACAGAATTGGGACCAGACGTTACCTCTGTTCTTTATTCGCCTACCACAGTACTATCCATAAGACTCAGTACTTTACTGGCTTACCGCAGTGCTATCCATGAGACTACCAGCTATTTCCTATCTTAGATGTGCTTTAGTCACGACCTTCGTCTGCTCGTGATCTTGTGTTGGTTGCCTTCCCAATGTGCCTTAAATGTCTGAGGAGTATATCCAAGATCTTCAGACAGAGTTTGAATTTATGCACAACTTTGTACAAGAGCATGTAAACTTGGAAACCTAGACGATGAATACCCGATATGACATGGAGCTACAGGACATAGATTCAATGAAGGTGAAAATGTGTGGTTGTTGAATCCGATTTGGGTCTTTACACGGTCCTAAACAGGCTGAATGATGTCATAGTTCAAATCTGTAAGACATCAATTCATTATGACAGACTATCCCCTTACTATGACCATAATACATAGTCCTTGGTAGTGTATATAATGTAAATTATAAACTAGGACCTTGTCTGGGATGTGCAGTCTTTAGGAAAGGCAGTGTTACAAATTTTGTATACATAAAAATAATTTTAGTGAAATTATATATGAAACTGTAATATCTCTTTAAAATGTGACGAGATACCTGAAATGGGAAGCTCCACAAAGTATATACAAATGTTATTTTAAGGATATAATGAAAGACAGCCATTAAAATAATTTTAATTCAAAATATGGAAAAAATTCATAAGATGATTTTGGTACACCATAATAAATTTGTATTTTCTATCTGGCTAAGACTGCAAATCAAGAATATCTACCTAACAATAATTAAATTCAGAAAGAGTTATTGGTTTCACAACAACGGCCTTTTAAATACCTTATACAGTCACAAGTCGTTAATCCGACACCCATAATCCGGACCTCAAAGCTACAAACTTTCTGTGCGCGTTTACGCATGCGCATGGTACCTTTATGCTTGCGCATATGCACGTACGCATGCACATAATACGTTTACGTATGCACATTTATGTATAACGGACGGTATAAGCTAAGCTAAAATTATCTATTTCAGTTAATGTTGATGATTGCGTTGTTCCTTAATCTTCAAATTGGATCTGGCTTATTATTTTTTGCAGACTGTTAGAGCAATTTTATAAAAGTAAGCTTGAACTTTCGATTATGTCAAATAGAATTTCCGATGCTGGAGCTGCCAAAGGATCTGCAAAGGGAAAGCATGTTTCGATGTCCATCAAACAAAAAGTGGAATTGCTGCAAAAAATGGATAACGGCTCCTTTGTTTCTCTAACTATTCCGAAATCTGTTTATCAATTTCACGCTGCTCAGCGCGGGGGGGGGGGGGACAATGCAGCGCGCAATGAACTGGAAGTTGATCTGTCAGCACTATCCTTAACTTCAGGGCAGATGTTTTTATTTTATTCGGCTTATTAATTCCTTACTAAATGTAGTATTTCATCTCGATGATCTGTCTTTGATATGATTTAAATCAAATTCCTCGTCATTATAAATACCAAGAATACAAATCAAATAGTTTTCTGGTTGCAATTTTCTAATTTCGACTATGCATAATGTATGCTTTACGCATGCGCGCATTGAAAGAAATGTTTAATAAAGCAAACAAATAAATATTAAACTTTTTTTTTGCAAATTTTGATACCCTTTAGATCATAATTGCTCTTTATTTCATAAATTACGGTTTCATATTTTTTATTTTATAATTTCTGCATGCCATCTTACCAGATTTAAACCGATGATCTATAATCCGGAATCAATGAAGTCCCGACGAGTCCGGATTAAAGACTTTTGACTGTAGTTTTTTCTGACAGGGCTCACAAAGGTGAATGTATAGTTCAGTATCAATTACATGTAGCATTTCTGTAATTGGTTGAAATTTCTTTCAACAATATCTCACATCCTCCCTGTTTAATAGCCAAAGGAGTTTCATTATGTACATGAAAGTTAGTGTCCATGACGTAATACTACACAGTACTGACACCTTCTTTAAAAGGATAAATGAGTTTACTTTTACTTTTCACAAATGTCAGATCTTAGAGATTCAGCAACCAACAGTCCCGTGGTTCCATCTTAGCAATAATTTATACCATTTATTAACTTCTGGTAAGTAGTTTCGGTTATTCTGAACGAATTCGAGATGTATTTCATAGTTTGCCGGTTTGTCATTTGGCATTCTACAGAATGCCTAGGCAATGTGTGAAATGTTCAGTCATTTCATACACTGCCAACCAGTTTTCAACATTCTACAAAATGCTTAGGTATTCTAGAGAATACTGGATTTCATGCTTTGCCGGTAACATACAAGGCGTATTCGGAAACTAAGTAGCGTTTTGGAAAAAAAAAAAAAAAGCAAAACAATTTTTTCGAATCCAATTTTATTTTTACATGAAAATACATGTCTTAAACTATTTTTCAACAGAGTTTCCACCAATGATCAAACACTTGTCATAGCGGGTGACCAGTTTTTGCATACCATCGTCTAAGAAACTTCCCGCCAGTTTCGATAACCATGACTCCACAGCATTTTTCGTGTCATCTTCAGATCCAAAGAGCTTGCCACACCAAGCTCGCGCTTCATGTGCAGGAACAAGCGATAGTCGGATGTGAAATTTGTGGAAATGCCTCTGAAAGAGTTGTCATTGTGAAGCGTCTGTTCTCATGAATTGCTTCATCAACTTTCCTTACCAAATCATCGGTGACAACAGAAGGCCGACCACTCCAAGCTTCAGCGTGAACATTTGTTCGATCTGCCTTACACATTCTTACCCACTTTCTCACCATTCCATCACTAATCACGTATTCACCGTAAACTTCTGTCACTTGACGATAAATTTCAGCTGGTTTAACATTCCTCGCGTTCAAAAATTTAATCACGGCACGAATCTCACAGTCAGCGGGAGAACTAATTGTCTTAAACATTTTGAATGTGCACAGCAAACTGAAAACACAACATAGAGCAACCAAAATGGCGACAATTGAAAGTCAGTGAACAAGAAGAAAGACTAGTGCGCATGCGCTGGACGCCTACCACAGCGCTAGAATGAAACGGTACTTAGTTTCCGAATACGCTACGTATAAAAGAAATATAACGTTCCCATGTTAGTCCCACGTGTGGTAGGCCTCCTCGTGGTGCATCCTGGGTTATGCCAAATCTGCTACAACTTTGTCGTTTCTTGATGAGTGTGAAGCACTGACAAATTTTTCTTGTAGACTTCAGCACTATTGGCAAGCAAGGAGTTTAATGGCCTAACAGCTAATGTAACTGACATTTGACAAATAAAATAAAAAATGTTAGTCCAAATGCATATTAATTTAATATGCTATAAAATGTTTTTATTTATTTTACCTTTTTTTAAACTGTATTGTTCATTATCTTATATTTTTTACCTTTCCTGACAACTTTCCATAGGACTTGAATACTTCTAATTTTAGAAATCAAGACCTGATAATTTTAAATAAAAATATTACCAAAAACAGGAATACACAAACACAGGTGCGCATGGAGGGGGGACTTAAAAATATTTATTTCACTCTTTTTTTCGGGGGAGGGAGGGGCAATCCAACATTATTTTCCGTGCTAAAAATGCATATGATATTTAGTATTTTTGGAAGGAAAAATAAAAAGCAACTATATTTCTAAAATTAGAATCAAGTTAAAATTATTTAGAAATTAAGAAATTTTCTAAAGAAATTTGCAAAAACAATATGTATTACAACAAGTTAGATCATTCTGCTGCTGCTGTTTCTCAAAATCAATAATAATATTCAATATTTTTCAAAAAGCATATATTTATTACAAAAATTACAAATTTTATTACTTATTACACATTTATTACAAATTTTCATTCAAGGCATACTGAAATACAGCGCAATTTTCAAGTTAGTATATTGTATGAGGTGCATTACTCCCATATGGTAACGCCCAAGAGACAGGCATTTTCCACATATCATTTGTGTGATCAGCCTATGTAAAATAAACAAACAAATAAATAAAATAAAATCCAATATTCAAATATTAGAGTAGTTAAGTGTTAATTACTTCATTACCTCCTTAAGATGTAACCAATTATTCAAATTTGTAACCATTTGAAATGCCTCAGGATAGTTATAGCCTTCAGAACACACAAGTATCAAAACTATGAGAGGAATATTCTTTTGTTTACTGAAATAAAAAGAAATCTTACATTAAACATTGCATTCATTTCATTCATAAATGTGCATAAGATCAGAAACAAGTATGTATTACAAACCAGTTAGAGAAGGGAGACTAAAACTAAGTTAAACAGAAGATGGAAAGATGACAAAATTAATCCATCCATATCAATAATTTTAATTGTAATTTTCAACTAGATTTTTTTAAAGTTTGATAATGTCAAAAATATTAAAACAAAAAATTATCCTTTTTTCTCAAAATACACTTAGATATACTTCTCTCTACTCATTTAATAAATAAACTGCACAGCATATGAAATTATTCACTTCGGCTAGTGAAAATTTCTCCTGTTCTTGATGCCTCACACACAGTGATGGATTACACTTTGCTAGTACAGTACAAAATCCGAGATCCACACTCATTGGGACTCTGCCGATTCCAGATTTGAGATTTTTATGGATATTAGATCATTAGTTTAAATCTAGTAAGATGGCATGTAGAAATTAAAAATTTTAAAATATCTCACTGTGATTTATGAAATAATCACAGTTACATATTTTAAAATAATAATGAAATAATGAAGCAATTATGATCTAAAGGGTATCAAAATTTACAAAACAACAACAACAAAAAAAAGCTTAACATTTGTTTACTTTATAACACATTTTCCGAGCGTAAATTAAGTTGCTTTGTTTTTTGTGCTAAGACTTTCTCGTGTTGATAAACATACAGTGATGAAAGCAAAATATAATAAATAATGATTCACCAGGTTAGCGTCAGGATTATAAAATATTATTAGTAGTAAAATCAAGGATGTTTCTATGTACAATGTTTCAGTTTCAGATGTATGCCCAGCAGATCAGCGGCTATGAGGCCAAATTATTGATCACACATATTTATGCTAAAATGATTGTTTTTTCAATAACAAAGTGCCGAATTGAAATTAAGAATCGGGATTTTCCACAGGTTTCCTGGTGGAGAAAAAATAATATATGCATGCGTAACACATTTACAAAAAAAAAAAAAAAAAAAAAAAAAAAAAAAAAAAAAAATCTAATAAAATTAAATAAAATTAAAAAAATAAATAAAGAAATAACGAAAAGCCTGAAATGTTTCAGATTTTAAATTACGTCCAAAGGGTCATTTTTTTAACATTTTGTCTGTTACCTTTATTTATTAAATATAACATTCTTTGAACTTAAACCATAAAATTCAGTACAAGAGCAATATCCCAAAATAATTGAGCATATCTTTAAAGTTTCTGATACGCAGTCTCACGCGCTGGAGATAAAATGTTTTTTCTGTACATTGCAATTGCTTGCTTTGAAATCCTCGAGTTTGTTAATAAAAAATTCGTTAATGATTTACAAAATATGAAATCGATAATAAAACAAATTCCAAATTTCAAATTTGGGCTTCCACATAGCCATATTTGCAGTAGGATTACATCATTCAAAATTCAATGGCTCTATGTACCGTTGTTTTATTACAATGCAAGAAATATAAATACATTTATGCAGATTTTGCATTATTTAATTTCTTCAAATACAATTTAGGACTCTAACATTTGATGGCAACAGTTTGAAAAGTGAAATGGACACTTATAATAAACCAACACAACATTGCAAAACGAAAACAATAGTCCTTCAGGGACAAAGCCCTTTTGGACTAAAAATTGAGAAAAGGTATAGATTTCAGATCATTCCGGATCTTGGACGTACAGATCTTGGACTTATCTTTGGTACTGTATGGAAGTCCTCATTTCATTCAGTATCAAATGAACTTTTGTTGGAAACAACATTATGCATGTAAAATGTACGAAAACTAGTTTATTTATTATTATTTTTTCTTAATTTAATAATTTATTCAGTCAACATGTAATTGAAGCCTTAATTTACATTCCATACATGAATTTAATTATCCTAGTGGCCAAGTAGTTAAGATCACTGAATATTAATAATTTGAACCCAGGTGAAGAAGCTGGTTGCATGGTAAGCTTTGCTTGAGGAAAGGATAATGTTATGAAATGACAACATGTATACATATAAGACATAACTTGTCACACATTTCAGTCCGTATCATAAAAAAAGTCTCAACATATTTTTTGCCACAAGATGCTGTTGATGCCTATATATCCGGCAACATTCACTGATTGTCTCAAACATGTGCTTAAAAGGTGACATTCAGCTTCCACATGTTTGTGGACATAGTTTTCTAATTCGCTCCTCATGTAAAAAGTTATACTGATTTGAAAATGAGTGAAATATCTGAAGAAATACGCTATGTGATGCTTTTTTATCATAAAAAAGGTAAAAATGCTACAAAAACATGCCAAAAATTTGTGAAGTGTACGGTGAGAATACTGTGAATGAGTGAAGAACACAAGAGTGATTTGCTCGATGCCGTTCTAGAAATTTCAATGTCAAAGATGCACCTCGCTCTGGTTGGCCAGTCACTGAAAAAGTCAAAATTTCACAACTGGTGGAGCAAGATTGGCATACAAGCTGTCAGGAAATAGCAGAGGCACTAAGTGTCAACCACATGACAGTTTGGACTCATTTGAAAAGAGCAGGCTACAAAAGTAAGCTCAATGTTTGTGTTCCACATGAATTACGGCAACAAAATTTGATTGATCAAATTACTATCAGTGAAATGCTGAAACACAATAAAATTGAACTATTTTTTAAGCAAATCATTTTAAGGGATGAAAAATGGACAATCATGGCCAAAGGCTGGTTACCCACCACAAATGACTTCAAAGCCTGGATTGTTGCCAAAAAAGGTTATGTTGAGTGTTCGGTGGGATTGGAAAGGAATTGTCCATTATGGGATGCTGCAACCTGGCAAAACCATCAATTTGGCCCTGTACTGTGCACAACTCAACCGTCTGAATGAAGCAATTCAGAAAGAGCGACCAGAGTTGGCCAACAGAAAAAGAGTTGTTTCCATCATGACAATGTGAGGCCACACGTATCATTGACAACTCAGAACAAATTGACGGAACTTGGTTGGAAAGTTTTGATGCATCCATCCTAAAGCCCAGACCTTACACCATTTGACTACCATTTGTTTTGGTCTCTGTAAAACTCTCTTGATGGTAAAAAATTGGCTGACCAAAGCACCACTGAAAATCACTTGGCCAAATTTTTCGATGATAAACCACAGAAGTTCTAAACTGATGGAATTATGAAGCTACCCGAAAAATAGCAAAAGGTCATAGATAATAGTTGTGAATATGCACTTGATTAAAACTGATTTTGAATAAAGAAAGTTTTTGTTCAAAAACGTACCAAAAAACTGCAGATACTTTTTATATGGCCCAATAATACATGCTGATAAAATATTTTGCTGTTTCTTACAGTTTCTTTAATAAAATAAAATGGAAAATAAAAATTTGTTCTCATATCTACTGATGCAATATCTTCAATTTTAGTTATTCAAATTTTAATAAATTTAAAATATTTTTTGATCAAAGAAATAACATCATAAATATGTCACAAGTAAGAATGAGCCATAACATAATGAAATACAACTCCATATATATGCCCAGATTTCTCTCAACCATTAGTGAAAACAGAAAAGCATGATCCAGATTTAAGTTTCATTGTTTACGCAATGTATTGATAGAAAGTATAATTCTATTTCATCCCTTGAAATTTCAGTATAGGTGACTATTTTTGTCACTATCTTATTCTAAGGCTCACATTTTTTTTAATTACCAAGTTGGCACCACAATTATTGCAAAATTTATGTTTTCTTTTAACATAAACATTGTAGCTGCCATGCTTCCACAACTGCTTTTAATAAGGCACTAGAAGCACTCTTCTCATTCCAAGGACTTTCACCACATGAATTCCAAATGGGAAAACTCATAATGATAGAAAACTGTGTCTCATTGATTTTTATTCTGCCATTCAACAAAGAGCTCAGTCTTTCAACATAATGAAATTTATGACCCATTGCCTATGACCTTGCCTCTTTTTTTTTTTTTTTTTAATTTCTCTGTTTTATATGTTCACCCATAATCTGAATAAATTGTCGATTCTTCTTGCACATAGTCAATGATTTTTACCATGAGTGTTACTGCCTCTCAATTTGGGCCCACCAGCGGCCGAGCGGTAAAGTCGCTGAACACTAGTAGTTTGGTACGAGGTTTTAATCCTGCAAACGGGCTGGCTGCATGGGCATTTTCGTGGTTTTCCCCATGTGTAATGTGTATATGAACTAGTTTTCCTTAGAAAGTCCTCCACGAAAGCATCCCTCCTCTTAGGCAGATAGCCCTCGAGGCTTTGCCATAATCACACACATGCCTCTCAATTTGGAACATGAGCAAGAAAAAATTCAGCAGCCTCTTCGAAGAACCCATCAAACACCTAATAGTGTGTAAGAACTCAGCAGGCCTTCCCTGCCCTTATATGAACAGATTTTATGCCCACAGTCTTTTTTTAAGGCCCTATTTTTGCTTATTTGGTTGTCAGATTAGATGTAGAGGATACATCTCTCTCATAAATAGCTCCACTCAATAATCATATATTCGTTAAAGGCTGAAATTCTTTGTCCACACTACATAACTGATGTCAATTCCCCTGTTTAATTAATGTATTATTATAAAACCTCTGAAACCACTTCACTTGCAGCTTTTCACATCACACCTCCAAGTACTTTCAATAATATGTAGTTTTATTTAATGTTTAGTTTAATTTAATGCTATTTAATGTAGTTTTATTTAGCTACTTTCACAAAGTGAAATGCAAAGTAAACATTTTTCTCAAAAGAAAAACCACAGCATCTTCTTCAGTTCTCCCAACTTTTTTTGTTTTTTTTTTGGGGGGGGGAAAAAGATACTTTAACACGCAAAATTCTCTCAGCTAAAATTTGTTAAAATTTTTTATGGGGTAAATTTAGCCAAAGAAAAAATATGAAAAATACTGAATATGTTACAAAATTGGAAACTTAGAGTAAATGATAAGATTAAGGATTTAAATATGGTTTTTATGAATGATGACTGT